GTTTCAGGCGTGGGGGTTTAGAGTGTATGTGCCATAGTCTGATGGACCGGGGCTGAAAGGGTTTGTTTTGTAGATGTTATTATATAGTCGTATCTTCGGTGCTGTGGCATGGGTAACTGTTTGTTCCAGGTTCGCGAGGCTCAAATCCAATGCTTTTCAGTTGAACCGATCTTGTCGTGATTGCTGCACCTTGGCTGCAGCGTCCTCCTGCGCCAGGATTTGGGGGTGCTCGGGTTCGGGTTTATTGTTTAGGGATTGCCACAGCGAGCAAAACTTCGAAAGGGTTCCCATGCCATATGTACATTTCTAACACACGCACACACACACACACGCACACACACACACATATATATATGTATATATATATATATATATATGTATATATATATATATATATATGCGCATGTGTGCATACAAAGATGTAGATCAGAATGTTGCAGGGCCCATCGGTTCAAGCTGGTCTGGTCGTAGATCCCAGAGCGCTCTCCCAAATCCGTCCGAGAGTTATTTCCAAACCAGCGAACAGGGAGGCATCCGTTTCCGCTTTTCGGGGTGTAGGCCAGGTTTTTTTGTCGTTACAGGTCTTTTCCCGTGTGCCATGTTCAGGAATATTCAGATTGATTCATCGGGGTGCAGGCCCAGGGGAAATCTACAGCTTGCAACCCGCCCCCGAAAGCCCTATCCAAGCACTTAAGGAACGGCCTTGTGATAGGACCGTAGTGCGGAAGGCACCCTGTCAAAACGATAAAGCAGTCAGGTTCGGTTTGGCTGGAACACACGGTTTGCTGTTGTCGGTCTGCTGATTTACTCCTTAACTCCTAGACCCAATCCCAAGCCTAGGGCGAATGCCGAAGACTGCCAAGCAGCAGGCCACGTTCCCGGGCTTGGGGTTCGGGGTTCGGATTGAGGGTTTGGAGGGATGGAACTTCGTGCTTTCTTCCCGCGCAGAATACAGGGCAGCCTGTTAATGAGAAATGATTGCAATGACGCCGCACCTTTCGACCTAGAAAATTGGTTCGGGAAGGAGCCAGCGCGCAAGCCCAGCAGGGAGGCTTCTACGATCGGCCAAAGCTTCGTCTCATCATAGAAAACCGGACGCCCCAGACTTGACGAAGCACCGCAAACTCTCGACCTGGAGCCATAAGCCCTTAAGTTGAGCCCTGCAGCCCTTAAACCCGAAACTCTGGAGTCTCTTGGGGTTTGAGGCGATGGTTTTGGAAAAGGATTTGGGGGCTCCGGTTTGGCAGATGTTCGGGCATCAGGTTGTCAGGGTGTCGTTCTCAGAGGCATTTTAACGGCCCTGCGCTTGATGGCGCAGGGTTTCATGCTACAAAGGCCCTGCTAATAAGTCCCACTCTAAACCCCTCCCCCCTCAAAAAAAGAAGCCCATGAGCCCGCAATCCATGGCCCGAAACTGTGCAGGCCGCCAGTGCGCGCATCACCCGGCAAGCGGTGAAGAAGCCCCCGGCAAAGGCGTGTGCTCTCAGTGGATCAATGCTGTACCCCTCTATCAGGTAGGATCTCACGACTTCTCGCTCGTATGAGATTTGCTCTAGGTCCTGTACCTTGAGACCCCCAAATGCTTAACTCTAAGGCTCCCAGGCCTTACAGCTCCAGCGCAGATTCCTCAGGCTTATGTAGGCTACTCTAATATGGGAGTTTCCGAATATCAGGGGTACTTCATTTTGGGGTCCTTATAAGAAGCATCCTACTCGTTCGGGTGTTAGATTAAGGTCCCTATGTTCGGAGACTACCATATGGCCCTCATAAACTTCAATACGGTTCTGGGGCCAGGGATCCTTTAATTATGCGAGGGACTATACGGCGAGACAGACTAATTGTTTCCTGCCCCTACATCAGGGTCTTTGGCTATCGGAGATAGCCTCTGCGGATCAGAAATGCGATTGAGCTAGCCTCTTCGAACAACAACAACACCAACACCAATGCCAACACAAATACCACCACCACCACCGCCGCCGCCGCCACCAGCAGCAGCAGCAGCAGCAGCAGCAGCAGCAGCAGCCACAGCCACAGCAACAGCAACGGCAACAAGGACAAGGTACATATAAACAAAAACTGCAGCCCGTCCAACCTGCTTTTTGTCTGTACAGTAGGTAGAGACAAAAACTGGAGGCCCGTCATGTTCTTCCTCTGTCCCCAACAACAACACAGCCGCTACAGGGTACAGAATTTTAATGGTGTTTAGCGGTAGGGACTGGCAAGGGTTTCAATGGATTTTACGGGGGGGCTTCTCTGGGTCTTAGAAGGGTTGTAATGGGTTTTACCACGGTGTTTCAATGGGCTTTAGAAGGGTTTAGAAGGCTTTACATGGTTTTTACCAAGGATTTGCAAAGGTTTTGATGGGATGTAGACCGTAGTACGACGATCTTTCGTACACCATAAACATCTTTCTAAAACAATTAAAGCCATGCCAAGACCCTGTAAAGCAACTTAAACCCTGCGACAACCATTCACGGTTCACCCCTTCCTAAAAACTAGGCACCCAGAGGGAGTGAAGGTATACGTTTGGCGAGTTTGATACCTTTGGTGTAAGGTGGGTGGTTGTTGTAAAGGGGGACCGACATTGAACCCCATGTCCATTACAGGGCAGCTGCTATGTAAACCATGGTGGCACTCCGCAAAAAAAATCAACAGGCACCCTAGGGGGTCGTTGGAGGCACATAAGTTGCAGGCTGCTGCTTTTGTCTGTACCAACAACAACAACCAGTAGTACCACGACGCAACTCCCGCTTCTAAACAGAAAGCCCAGGTGTAGGTTTATGCAAGCAGTTCAGAATGCGCACATGCATCTTATATCTTACACGCTTGAAGATGAGCAAGCGGCAAAGACACACATTATGCGTACGTACATACACAGCGGTGCAACTGTATATGTGTATATATGTGTAGAAGTATATGTATATGTTTTCAGGTATGCATCTCTCTCTCTCTCTCTCTCTCTCTCTCTCTCTCTCTCTCTCTCTCTCTCTCTCTCTCTCCGTATATGTATTTGGGAAGGGTACAGCCTGTGCCCCAAACAGCAGACCAACATGTAAGCATTCGTATATAGCAGTCTATGGCAGCTGCATCCGAAGGCAAAGCTGGAGCCCAGACCCGGCAGTGGGGCTCTCGGTGGCTGCGGGGGTTTAAGACAGTAAAACCGGAATTCTTAAAGAGCGGTACTGGCAGGTTTTTTTGAGAAGAGCGATGTTTCTAGGTTTTTTTTTTATGGAGTTCAAGGTATTCTCAGGGAATCACTTGTTTTGGACGTGTTTTGTCAGGGTTCTGCGATTGGGCGTAGGGTGCAGGATCAGTTGGTGCGAGTGCCGAATCTCGGCTTTAATCTGCGATGATCAAACACATCGGGCCAGATTGTAAGATCTGGACCTCTGATCTTTTTCGGGTTTGAGCGACATCGAGAGAAGGGAAGCGCTGAACCCGAAAGTCGCATGCCTTTTCTTCTGCCGTAAATTCTGAACCTTCAGTCCTGAGCCCTAAAACCCAAGCTGTGAACCCTTAGAGCCTGGACCTATGCCCTGCGCTTTAAGCCCCACAGTAGTTTAGCAAGTCTGCTCAGTTGGGAGACCAAGGCGCCGACTGTTACACGCGCCCGCGCCGGGACAGCCTCATGCCCTTTAAGCGCCTTGGCTGAGCTTCATGTGCTTCGAAGTCATTGCAGGGCGAGAAAGGACAGGACATAAACGCAAGCTTTTGAAACCCAGCCCCTTGTCGTCTTACCTTTGGTTAGTAGTGAATGGAGGAATGGGGTACAATTATAACTACTGCTACTACCATTCTTCCATTCCCTACTAACCAAAGGTAAGTCGTTACCTTACAATGTGTATGTTCGCGTCGTTTTCTGGGGTTCGGCCTCAGGATTATTTCCGGAGTTGGGATGTAGGATTTTGGGCGGTTTGGGGGTTTAAGTAGGGCTTTGGGCCTTTGTGTTCCGGGGTTTATATGGTTAGTTTAGGATTCAGAGTCTTCTCCGGGGTAAGGATCAAAAACCCTAAAGCCTAAGGCCACTTCTTAAACTCGCAACTCTACCCTGCCAGGAACCGTTATAGAAACCCTGGCAGTAACCTCTGTAGGTCAGTATAACCGTCGAAGTCTTGCATCCCTTTTTTTGCACCCGAGCCGGCTAATATAGGGGCCTCAATAATTAGAATAGGGTTTTGGGGCCCATGATACTGTAATTATAGTAAGCAACCCTATAGTGGGGTCAGGGGTTGGCTTCCGTAGTTGCTAGCTAAAAGCTTCTGCAACCCCAAAGGCTAACTCTAAGCGCCTCTCAAAGCCTAATGGCCTAATTCCTACAACCCGGATCCCTACGCTTTAAGATCAATGCTGAGCACCTGAGAGTAACGGCCTGGCCACTTGGTTTGGAAAGTCAGGAGGGGTTTCTGAATGGCCATCACTGAATTTGCGTCCGAAAACCTTGAAGAGCCCTGAAGGGTGTGAGATGTTGGGCTTCTGGGGTTTTGGGCTTTAGATTTTAGGGCTTTAGGAATACGTCCTCCACTTCTCCCTCCACGCGGGATTCCAATGCACCCCCCCTCATGTTCTGAGACTCCAACGTAAATTGCAAGAGATGCCTGGGATCCGAATCTAGGCCTTCGCCAGCTGCTGTCGAAGCAGCGAAATCGGCCACTGCCCTACACAGAGCACCTGCGTGGGCTACACGGGGAAGGGGCCTCAGGGATGTTGTCTTCGCAGTGAGACGGAATTGGGAGAAGAAGTCATTGAATTTGGGCATGAAGCTGGGAGATTCGGGTCCTGCACGCCTGCTCTTAGCTCTCACGTATCGTATCCATTCAAGCACAATTCCCTGCATCGGGGAATCGAGTCTAGGTCGTAGCCAAGCGGACAGACCAAGAGCTCCTGGCCTAGGTCTGAGGTAGTTCACCAAGTGCGTCACGAAGCCGAGGGTAGTAGGACTATGGAATGTTTCAGAACCCCTTTCTGGGACCCCAGCTATAACGCTGTAGCCATTCACTCCCATGGCTTCCGAAGAGCAGCCGGGCAAGCGGTCGAGAGCTGGGCCAGACTTGACGATCGCCGTGGATGATGGGGAGCTGGAAGTGCATTCGATTATCCTACAGCTGGCGTCTCCCGTCTTCCAAGGCATGCTGAACAGCGATATGAAAGAGGGCCGTGGAGCAAGAATCCAACTGCCGGGTAAATGCAAAAGTCAGCTGGAGGCTTTTTACAAATCCCTGCAGCTTTGCACCATGGAGCCTCTAACCCTGGAAAACGTCGCCTTCCTGACCCAGTGGGCTGATGAGTACCAGATCGAGGCCCTGAAAGGCAAATGCGAGGCATTTCTGATATCCAACGCACCTATCGATGGTCCTGGCCTGCAGTTTGCAGTGAAGTATGGCCTTCACGACCGCACGAAGCAGTGTCTCAATGCAATGAAGTCCAACGTCGAGGAGCACATCGTGGATTTGCGTGTGCTCACCACCAAGGATTGTCAAGAATACCTTCAGGAGTTCTGGCCCTTGATCCTCAGCAAAGCCGGATTCATCGCTGGGGGCATGGACCTGCCGCCTCCAGAGCATGTGGCAAGCATGTGGCCGTTTCTGGTCCGAGCTGTGCGCTGGCAGCCGAAAGTTGTACATTTGGGGAGGATCCTCAGAGAACTACCGTCCTTGCCTGAAGCTTTGTACACTGCCATGCCAAGCGGCGCTCGTGTCGACTGTCGTGCTCGCGACTTAGCAGCTGATAGGCTTAGAAATGTTGGCATAGATCCTTCATGACCCTTTGTTCTTATGAGCACGAGAGAACAGAAAGCTGGGACTGGAACAGCCAAGACCTGCTATGTGTCTTTGGCTCTGATGGGTACTGCTACTGCTACTGCCACCGCGCTAGTGCTATTACCTACTGCTTACTGCTACCGCTACTGCGACTGCTGACGCTACGGTTGTTGCTACTCCGACTAATCACTACCGCTGCTGCTGCTGCTGCTGCTGCTCCTGCTGCTGCTAGCGCTAGGGCTAAGGGTAAGTAATGCTAATGCTGCTCCTATTCCTGCTCCTACTCCAATTCGTACTCATACTCCTACACCTACTCCTACTACTCCTACTACTACTACTACTACTCCTACTACTCCTACTACTCCTACTACTACTACTACTATTACTACTACTACTACTACTACTACTACTACTACTACTACTACTACTACTACTACTACTACTACTACTACTACTACTACTACTACTACTACCCACCACCACCACCACCACCACCACCACCACCACCACCACCACCACCACCACCACCACCACCACCACCACCACCACCACCACCACCACCACCACCACCACCACCACCACCACCACCACCACCACAAACACCACCACCACCACCACCACAAACACCACCACCACCACCACCACCACCACCACCACCACCACCACCACCACCACCACCACCACCACCACGACTACTACAACTTCTGCTATGCTTTGCGACCACGACTATGTCTACGACTGCGACTGCGACCACGACGGTCGTCGTTGTTGGTGTCACTGGCAACCGCTGATCAACGGGTCGAGTTAAGGCTCAAGGTGTTTAAGGTTTGGGTTTCGAAGCCCCGAGACCGAAACTCTCAAAGCAGGTTTCAACAGCCCAGATGTTGATATCACGAGGTTTACCATGCCGTCTCTGCCCTCGAACAGAGAAGCCCTTCTGTTCAGACCTCCTTGTTGCTTTAAGCTTGCGGGCTCAGCGTTTGTCTTAGCTGCTGCTTTTGGAGTGATTCCGTTGAGGGTCCAGTCCGGGTTTAACGGGTTAACATTGCAGAAATGCAAGAGGCTTAAACGATTCGATTCTTCAGTGTCATACAACAATGCATACAACACGCCCGCCCAAAAGAGAAAGCCCCCCACAAACCCGACACGACAAGGGAACTCTTCGTCTCCGCATCACCCCGACCCTGCTGTCCTGAACCCCCAAAGACCTCCACCCTAAACCCCACAGCGCTTAGGACTTGCCTGCGAAAACTCGGTAAAACCCCTCACTGCAGGAAGCCTTCTTGGACCTTACTTGAAGGATCATGGGACTTAGTAAGTAAGGTTAGAAGTACCTTCACTGGGGTTATAAGTATAGTTACCCTAATTATAACCCTAGTTACTAAGTCCCAGGATCCTTTAAGTAGGACTTGGACCCTGAAGCTCTAAACTCCTCTAGGGCGAAGCCTAAAGCCCTGACAACTTTTAGACCCTACCCTGGCCTGACACCGTAGCTCCTTGGCGGTTTGGGAGTTTCCGAAAATCTAGAGGTACCTTATTTTGGGGTCCCTATAATAAGGATCCTACCATTTAGGGTGCTATGTTAGGGTCCCTTATTTTCCGGAAGCTCCCAAATGAGAAGTTTAGGACCCATAAGTATAGTACGGCAGCTAGTAATGAGGGCACCCCAAAAAGCGACCTTAATTTTGACAACTACCCATATGTCAAGACGATGCATGCACCAAACTCCCTGAGACGAAGCGCTTCCTGAGCCGAACGTGTGGCACGATGCAGGCCGCGGGGATGCCTTGGGGTTTTAGCTAGGGTCTAGGGTTTAGGGTTTAGGGATTTCTTGGAGAGGAGATCTTTACATTTGGGGTTAAGGGTTTAAGGTTTAGGATTTGGGGGCCTTTCTTCTAAAATGACAAGAAGCAGCTCAGCGCTTAGGGATTTTAAGAGACGTGCTCCTGTGATGACAGCAGGCATGTTCAAGCAAATGTGCGACGTTTGTCACGCCCCCTGTTTTGTGACAGGATTCTAGGTTCGGTTTCGGGGTTACAGCCCGCTTTTGTCGGTTTTGTTGGGATGCAAACCCAAGCGAACCGACAGAGGTTCTCGCAGGTTCCGACGGGGCTTCGGTCTCAGGACTGTCCGATAGGTCTTTGACCGCCCCCTCCGACGGTTGCTTGGCGTTCCAAACACAGCCCCAAACCCTGAACCCCATTTCCACATCCGGACCCCAAATCAAACTATCGTCTACAAGCAGGCGGCTCTTGCGACCTTCGATCCCAGTGGAGACGGCCGCTTCAGCCGCCCGCATCCCTGTGCAGGGTTTTCGGCCTTAAATTCAGGGACCAAAGAAGTACACAAAATAGAGTTTAGGGCTTCTGGTTTCAAGGGATGAAAGAAGCACATAAGGCTAAGGCATCCTTCAGATTTCATGTTCAAGTATTGTCTTTGCTGCTAAGGCACAGGTTCGACTCTCTAAACGGCGAGCCCTCCTCGAAATGCAAACCCTGAGCCTCGAAGCGACAGCCGAATTTCATGAAAGCGTCGATTCAGCGTTTTGGGGTCAACAAAATGGATAGAAGGCAGCAGCTAGGGTCTTTGCCAAACTCTAACCCCACTAAACCCTAAACCCTGGATCCTAAAGGCCCTAAACCCTACAGGCCCCCAACCCTCAACCCTGAAGGCCCTTTTAAAGGCCCAAAAGGTCCTCAAGGCCCTGAAGGCCCTGAAGGCCCTGAACCCCACTGAACCCTCAAGGCCCTAGACCCTGGAAAAGCAGTTGGATCAAGGCGAAGAGTGGGAGCAAGGCCTCGAGAAGTTGGATTTCACGGTGGGCCACGACTGTCAGGACTCGGGGATCATGGGCCGGGGATCATGGTTTCGTATAGTTAAAATGACCTACACTATTTTGGGGGCTCCTTATTCTAATTGTAGTATATCCCCAAAACTCTATTCTTCTTGTTAAGGCCCTATTCTAATTTCTAAGGCCCCGACATCACTCGGTTTGGTCTTTGGGGTCTAGGGGCTTTCGTAATGGACCCACGAGTTTAGGGCCCTACGTCCTAAGCCTTCGCCCGAAACCCTAAACCCTACGCTGAAACTCTAAAAAAATACCCGTGATCTTGGAATGCCTGAGCAGGAGATCTTCACGGCCGTGTCCTTGGCGAGCCTGCGAAGCCATCTCGGGGGTGGGTGGCGCTTTGGGGTTGAGAGTTCGTTCGCGCATTTGGGTTGTGGGTTCCGGGTTTAGGAATTTCTGAGTTCTGCGGCGGGATGTTTCAGCGTTTCAAGGTTCAGGCGGTATCGTTCTGACGGCAGAATTTCCGTCTGAACCTCCTAGAACCTTCGCGTTTTGTCGGGTCCTCATCTTACCCCTATGGCAGCCCCAGAACTAGACATTCCGAGAGGACATTCGGGGTTGCAGGTTTGGGGGTCTCCAACCGATTTAACGTGTACGGTTTCTGCGTCAAGTTTGAGGTTTGGGCTCTGAGCCCGAAGCCCTGAACCGCAAGCCACAGGCTTTGAACTCTTACCGAAGTTTCTTAACATAAATCCGAACAGCGTAGCCCCGTCTACTGCCAACCCTGAACTCTACATCTAAGCCCTACAGCAATGGCTTGGAATGTATGGTCGGGCTTCCGTACTTCCCATAAGACTCTGAAAGGCAGTATTATCCAGCAGATGTGAAAGCAGCGGATCCGCAGCTCATGCAAAGTGTTTTCAGGTTTGTTTCACATCTGTTAAATGTAGTTTTTGTTTGCGTTTTTAAGGGTTTCCCCAAGGTTTGTGTGTTTCAATCAAGGCTACAAGCGTTGTATGTTTTGGGGATTGGGAAGAGGCTTTGGGGTTTACTGCGTGACGCTGAATTCTGACAGCTGTCCACAGCTTCAGTCTATGAATGGAGTTATACGTCCCCCAATATGGGTTGTACCCATAGTTACCCTACTTATATTCCCACTTATTACCAGAAGCCTTAAGCACGACCTTCCCAGGTTCTCGATAAGCGCCAGCACCACATGCTCACGCTATCGGACCTTCTCGACTACTGCAAGGCCAGCTGGATGATAGACATCTGAAGTAGGCTTCAGGGTTTTATGTTGGGTGATGCGACTTGTTACTGTTTCTTGGGCAGTGTTTGTCGGGTTTAAAGCCTTCTAATGGATCAGTATTGAATCCCCAGCGAGCAAGTTTATGTATACCTCCTCAGGGCGATTTGGGGTGACCTCTTTTTCCTGAGCAAGGGTGAAGTCAAAATATCTGAAGGTGTTGTAAGGGAAGTGCTAGTTAGAATAGGGATTTTGGGTTACATTATACTATGACTGGCTATATGCTGGGTACTATAGGGGACGCTACTACGAAGCATCGTCGCCATCGTCACTGCGACCCCCAACCCCTAACTCCCCGGAGCGACCTGGAACCTCCAAACAGCCCTTAAGAAGCGTTGGTATTCAATTACGCCTACAACGCTCTTTGAATCTTGATGCTATCCCCCCTAAACCCCTTCAACCCCTTCGGGAACCAACCATGCCTCCGAGCCCGGTGGGAAGCTGTGGCTTGAAGTGCCGGGTTAGTGTTTCTTTCGTGTTGTTTGGCTTGGAGTTTTCCGGTACGGTTTCGACTAGGTTGCGGTCTTGGAGCGTTGAAGGGGTTTACGTGTAAGTGTAATTAGCTCTCATTGCGCCACCCAAAAAAAGCAGGGCGCGCCGTCGGATCCGACATGACTTGACTTGAGGAGACGACCGTACCCTAAACCCTTCGGCCCTGAACTGCTCTGTTCGATGCAGGGCATCCCAATCGATACCGGCATGCCTTCTCCCGGTGTCCGTGGTGCAGTTCGGCACTGAGCAAGCTTCAGACAGCTTCCCTTCCGTCCCTAACCCCACCCCCTACATTGCCCTACATTTTAAGTCTTAGACCCCAGTACCCTAAATGGCTATATCGCCTAAACACCACTACAACAAACTCCGAACCCGAAACCCTGACAGTACAAAAACTGCCCCACGCTAACGCCATCTAAATCTTGAAGTCTTTTTTATCGAGTTTTGCAAGGGTTCAATAGGGGGCTATATATAGGATTCTATACAGCAATATAGCGGCCAAAATGATGACCAATGCTTTTTTGGGGTTCCGTGTTATAAGATCCTCTGGGCGGCGCATTCGAAAGCGTTTTCTGCCTTTCAGTTCTTTGAAAGGCTTGAAGAGGGTTCCATACACGGGCGGTAGGACAGTTTTACACAGGCTTCAGGGCTTTTGGGACCTTTTGATCGATTTATAGGGTTCAATGAGGTCTGAAGGTTTTTGTAAAGGTTCAGGGTTCAGATTTCATTGCTTGGGGCAATGACTGCAGTTTTCTGAAACCCGGCGAAGGGCAAATAGAGATCTGACTGCTTAGTACCAGCTCTTTTTTAATCATGAAGGCCCCTTTATTTGCTGCAACTATTGGCAAGTGTGCATGGCATGCACATGCATGCGCATGCAAGTGCTGTCTAATCGTTTCAAGCCATCCGTACATACATCACGTGCATGCATAAAAACATGCATATATACATACACACGAACATACATACGTAACATGCACACACCGTTACGAAACTCGCCGACGACAGGTGCTTCAGTTTGGTGCCAAATAAGACGAAGAAGTGGAAGCTGGTCTGAAGCCGGGGAATACTACGATTACTATTGCTCCCAGATGCCTTGTTTTCATTCTTCTGTCATTCTGCTTCCTATCCAAATGTAGTTCTCCTTCTTATGATCCAAGATTGTTCTTCGCATTGTCCTTACTCCTCCGAGTCATGCTGGAACCTTTTGGAACCCAAATCCTCTTCACCTTGTGGCCGCTGCCAAGATGTCGAAGCTCTTCCAGGAGGCCGCATGAGCAAGGGCTTAGGCTTCTTAGAGGGTAACTTAGGGTTCTGAGGGTCGTTTGGGTCTGGGGTTCCTTGAGGCTGTAAAGGTTCTGAGGATTGGTAAAGACCAGGCCCCCAAGAAAATTGGGCTTCTTCATGCAGATCCGTATTAAGGCTGCCAAACACACCAAACCACCTTCAAGAATCCAAATCAATCCTTGAACATATCATATAGATACGGCACCATAGCAGCGTACTCTCAGAGCTTTGGCGCTTGGGTTCGGAGCCTATCCCAAAAAGTGAGCGTTTCCGGAGCATCGCACAATCGCTTCGAACCCCTAGAAAGGCTTGGAGCCTCCACCCTACATTGCAAAACCCAGAATCCTCGACCCTTGAACCCCTACGGCCCTGAACCCGTGCACCTTAGACCCCGCATGGCGCGTCAGATCCTGGATGAGCAGCTCGGGCTTGTGGTCCAAGAGGCTTTGCAAGTCGGGGGTTTGGGGTTTGGGATTTGGATAAGAGGTTTCAGGGCAAGGCCAGAGGTTCAGCTTCCAGATTTCCCTGTGAATTGCTTTGGGCTTCTGGAAAGTATAGTCTGTCAGCGATTTAGGATTGTCTTACCTTTGGTAAGTAGGGAATGGAGGAATGGGGTGCATTCTTCCATTCCCTACTACCAAAGGTAAGTTGTTGTTGGGGTCGGGGTTTAGGGCTTCGGAGCTTAGAGTTTCCGGTTATCCTTTCGCTGTGGGGGTTCGGCTTCAGCTGAAGCGTTTGAGGCTTCAAAGTCTTAGGTTGTGCGTAGGGTCTAGGTCCTAGGGTCGGCGGTTTGGTATTTAATATAGGGGCCTTGATTATTGGATAGTTAGAATAGGATCTCGGTGGCTATAATTAGAAGAAGGAACCCCCCCAAAACAGTATAGGTAATGATTTAGGCCCCTATATTAATTTGGGTTAAAGGCCTTCTGTGGTTTCAAGCCTCCGTGGCAGTTCAAGCCACCCTGTGCCATCCACCCTTAACCTTCAGTCCTGAGCCCTGTATCCTACACTGCAAGTCTTCAGTCCCTTGGGATTCTTTTCCTCAAGAGACTACAACCTCAGACGGTTGCTCTGGAAGGCTCTCATAGACGTCGCCACGGAGGGCCTTCTCCATCCGAGTGGCGCCCCAGGCCTCTTCCTACGGATTTGATTTATTGCCACAGCTCCAGGGCGTCTTTTCTTTGGATTTTCTGTAGGCTGAGGAGCTCAGGTCTGGGCTAAGGGAATTGGCTTCAGTTAGCGTAATGGGATGCGTAATGAATCGTCGTGAGGCTTGCATGCTTTCCTTCTATGGTAGCTTGAAGCTTCGTTCTTTTAAGAATCGAGGCGTTGTATGGCGGCAGTAGGTGTTCCCCATGTCGGCCGTGGATGACCGGCTGAATGCTACTGAGCGCGGTCTTGAAGCGGTCCCGAAGCTGTCAGCGACAGCCAGGGGCAGGGGAAGGAACGAGCGTAAAGCTTGTGGTGGTTCTGACTACTACGGAGTTTCGTCTCAGCTCACCATGTGCCGGCATGCCGCTCATCCATGAGACGAGGAATCAGTTCATTCGCAACAGCACATCAGCACTCTTGGTGTTGGTTGGAAGGCTAGCGCCAAGTCAGGGTGCTCTCTGTGAGGGCGAGATGCAACCTCCAGCGCATTCAAAAGTCAGAACCCGAGGCTTGCAGATACCGTTATCCTTGGGATTCGGCTAGCCATTGTCTGTCCTCGGGTAGGCTCTGGCATTCCACCCAAAAAACCCAAATATACGCCAACAGTACCCTGTGCCCAGGAACCCTAAACCAAGGGGTTTAGGGCTCCGGTTCTCCACGATGCAGGTGCTCGTACTCGCAGTCTCGATGTAAGAACACATGGACGGGGTTGGTCGGTTCGCATGCCAAAGGTCGCATAGGGCTTTGCACGGCATCGGGTTTCTTGAACCGGCCTTCTGATGAAGAGATTTTGCAGTTTCTGATGCCCAGCAGCACGAAAGGACATTGGAACCCAAAACGTTTGTTTTTTTTTCTAAATCTCGCCATCCCTGCAGTCCCCCGAAATTGCCTTGAAAATCCTAATCCTAAGAGCAAGGGAACCAACACGCGCGTTTGGCAACTTCAGGCTTGGTTTTAGAGCTTTGGGGCTTTGGGGCCTTAGCACCCTGAGGTTGAAGTTGAAGCCCCCGTGTGTAGGGCTACATAGGCTCATTGTTGTCCGGGTGTGGTACAAAGACCGAGGAGAGGAGACAGTGGCCCAATGCCCATCGTGATCCACACCCCAAACCCGTTAATCCCTCCGCCCTGCTGAGGTTATGCATATGCCAAGGCACTGAAGCCTACGCCTAACCCGATCAAGCACCACTACAAACGCAGATGCGACATTTTTGAAGCCTGGCTTACAATGCACAAACCTGGTCGAACCCCAAGCAGTTGGGCTTCCAAGTTCAAGGGTTCAAGCGGTGTGCAAACCATGAAAAACCCAATTAGGTAACACCACAGCACAAGCCCTAGGCCCTGAACCCGAACCCGAACCCTCGTTCAGGCTTTAGGTTTAGTATTTTAGGGTTGGTTCGTCGGCCTGCGGAGCAGGGGAACTGCCAGACGTCTTCGCTTACTGCAAGCCCGGCACTGAACAAGGGCCGCCAGGGTTTCAGGACTGTTTTGTTTTAGGGCTAAGGTTGGTTGCTTGGAGCGCTGCACTGCAGACTGAAGCCGGGCTCGAGTGTCGTCAACTTCCGAAAGTGAGAGCGAGCGCTTTGACAGATGTCGGCTCTACTCAACAGGTACTATAAGAATAATCGGAGAAAGACTAACCAAGACACCCCATCAACAACAGCAACAACCGCAACTGCCGCTCTTTGGATTCTCCGACACAGTATGGTGCGATGCCCGAACCCCAAGTCCTCAACCCCAAAACTTCCAAATCTATGGCCTCGGACGCCAGAAACCGGCCCGAAACTCTTTATGTTAGATCGCATGTAGTGGATAATGATGTTTAGGGTTTAGGGTTCAGGGTTTAGGGTTAAGGGTTTGGGGTTTAGGGATCTTAAAGTCGAGATCAGAAACCCAGAGCTTCCTGGATCTCAAAGCTTGAAAAGCCCCGAAACCGCTGAAGCTCCTCTTTCCCGCTCAACCCTAAGCCTGTTTTTCCCCTTTGCCCAGGTACCTCCAGCAGGTGAAGAAGCAGAAAGAGTTGGATTCGCCCAAGAGCTCCGAGGCGTGGGCTCTTTCGCTCCTGTCGGGCGTCTGTTGTGTTTTGTGTTTTTTTGTTTGTCTTTGTTTTTTTTTGTGGGGGGGGGGGGGGGGAGGGCCTAGGTAGGGTTTGTGTTTAGTTGTTTTGTTTGGTTTTGTTTTTGGCGGCAGGAAATGTGTTTTTAGTCTTTTGTCTGCGGGTTAGCGTTTGAGACTCGGCCTGCGCGCCAACTGCCACCATCGTAACGCCACCAGGACACTAGGTCACTAGGGCGCCGAAGCCCGAAACTCGTAACCTGAGCCCCGAAACCCGAACCATCCCAAATCCCACGCCCAAGTGTTATCCAGAGGCTCGGCAGCCCTCGCCCTCGCACGGATTGATGCAGGGGACCCAGTGGTACTTTGGGGCTTTACGGGCTTAACGTTAGGGTCATGGATCTTGCGACAGATGTTCATCAGGCATGTTCCGCGAAGCAATTTGAATGACCCGTTTCTTTTCTGATAGGATCTCTGTCAGAGTTCGGTGGCATTGCTTGCTTGAGGTATTTTGAAGATCTGCGGTGTCGTGTTCAAGGATGGCCTGTAGTAGCGTCACGGGCAGCCCGGTATGTTGAATCTGTTCTACACGGAACGCCCAGAGCACGAAAAGCCTGTTAGGCCAGCGAAACCGTCTGCAAACCCACTGGACACTAAAACCCCAAACCCCCAACCCTCATACCGTCTCCTACCCCAAGCCCTAGAAGCCCACCCCCAAGTCCAAATACCCTCAGCCTTTCTCGGCCCAATCCTGAGGAGTGCGTACTCCCAGGAGCCGGGGACCCGAGCACCGGCGTTGAGCGTCAGTGGTTCAGCAGGGAATCCGAGGTGTCGGGGGTGGAGGCCAGGGCCAGATTTTTATTTCTGGTTTGTACTGTTGTTCGTTATTCGGAAGGTGGTTGGGAGATAGGGCAGGATAGAGTCTAAGAAAGGTTAGGTCTTAGGGCGAAGTCTCTGGGTTTCTGCGCTGAGCTCTAAGCCCTTAGCGGGTTTTAGGGCCCAAGGCCTAAGGCATCGGGGTTTCTTTGTCAGCGTTCTGTTGCTTAAAGTGCTAGAACTCCCAAACTATAGGTTACTTCACCCTTGCCCAGTCTCCCAAACTGTCGCATTGCGGGTGTCAAAAAACACCCTCAACCTTAAAGCCCTAAAGCCCTGATTTCCTAAACCCTACAGCTTCCGAGTGACGAAGGGGCTTCGAGAGCGACCTGTCGGAAGAGTCGGAGCAGGAGGAGGAGACGGAGCCAGAGCCTTTGGAAAGGAGGTTCAGAATTCTGTGCGGGCTTTCGGAAAGGCTCGACAAATGCGGCAGCGTCAGTTGGTTTTACAAGGATGTGTTTCAAGCTTTCGTTTGGGCCCTACACGGGGGTGGATGGGTTGTGCATCCGGATTTAGGGTTGCGGTTTAGGTTTCATAGGTTACGGTCAGTTCGGATGTGGGGCTGAAGTCGTTAAGTTTTGTTCGAGGAGGGTTGAGGAATAACAAGGCCTGTCATGGTTTGTTGGGGCTTGAAGGGAAATCGGAGACATGTGTGTGTTCAGGGTTCGGTAGGGTTGATTCGGAGGTTCTGAGCAGATTTGTTTTCAATTATTCGATTGATTTCGGCCTGTGAGGGTTCAGTAGGGTCAGTGAGGGCCAGTTGGGGTTTGTTATGTTCAGTTTCGTTCAAGCTACTCGGATTCAGTACAGCTACAAGGGCTGGTTGTGGTGTGGTAGGGTTGCAGGCTTTGGGTTTACGGCTCGCTAATCATCATAACAATGCTTGTTATTCATATTTTCGGTCATGTTCTTTGTATCCTATGAAAACGTATTATATTCTACGTCATTTTGTGTCGTTGTCATTGTTTGTACAACCCTTGGTGTAATCATACTTATAGTATAATGGGCCCCAAAACCCTATCTTGATTTTCAAGGCCCCTCTATTAGGGCCCGTTATTTTCGGAATGTAAACCTTAAGCCCTAAACCCTAAACCCTGAACCCTGGTCCCTGAACCCCAAACCGTCTCATTTCCCCATGTGGGTAGTTGTCAAAATTAGGGTCCCTTTTTGGGTACCCTAAAGAATTGGTGCCGTACTTTATAAGGGACCCAAAAAGGGACTCTAATTCTGACAACCACCCATGTAACAACTGTTTGCGACCAGAGGTCCGAGGTGTCGTCCTCCGACTCCGAGTCCGAGGCTCTTGTGACGTTGGGAGGAAATGAGAGTTTCCGAAGATTCGAGGGTTTCTTACGTAATTTGGGGTCCTTATAATAAGGATCCTACGGTTTAGGGATTTTTTAGGAACGCTTCATTTTCGCAAACTCCCAAATGAGAGGCTTAGGACCAAAGGCTCTCCAGATCTGGGGGTTTTCGGGGTGCAGGCTCGAGCTTTTACAGTTGGGATGTAGGGTTTATAGGGTTTGGGGGGCTTGTTGGTTTAGGGGTGCAGGGTTTCAGCTTCAAGGGGTTGGGGCTTGGGAGGTTTCGGGTCGAGTGCCGTGAGTCAGGGCATCAAAAGCAGGATTGAAACAGGGGCTCCCCAACCAGCCCAAGGCAGCTCGTCAGTTTGAGCCCGCATCCAAGTACAAGTGGTAGTAGTGCTCGTCATCGTCGCCGTCACCGGCGGCGTCGTCGTGGTCGCTGGCGGAGTCGTCGTCGTCGCCGGCGTCGTCGTCGTTGCAGTAGTCGTCGTCGTCGTCGCTGTGGTGGTCGCTGCAGCAGCAGTACTGTAGCAGTGGGAGAAGAGGAAGCAGCAGCAGTAGTTAGTGGTCGTCGTAGAAGTAGTATGGTGAGTAGTAGCACCAGCTGTAGTAGCAGGAGCAGCAGCAGCAGCAGCGGCACTCATCCGTCTTTTATGCTTCGCCACAAAACCTGAATTCAAATTTCCTTTACTCCTAACACCGAGCCTTTTGCTCCCAATGCCTTGAAGTCCGACCAGACGACAACTGAGTATTGAGTCGGTGAGTATTGTTCGCGTCGAAGAGACCTGATCACTGCTTCACCTGAAACCTCAACTCTCAACACACGCAGTCTGACTCGGACAGCGAAGAGGAGGACGTCGTAGAGCAGGCCGGGCTTCGGGCTGTTGAACCTATCGACCTCAGGGCTGCTGGTTTCCCCACCGTCCTTGCCTGGAGTCCTTGTCGGATGTTTCGCTCGAACTTCCTCACTAACAGAAGTCTCTATGGATCGAACTTAGAGTGTATCCGCTGGCCCGCTAGTTTGTGGTTTATCCGTCCCTCGCGCTGTACGTTTGAGCCACGTTGCCGTTTAGCTGCAATCTGCGGCCATCGACTGGGTGTGACAAAACCTACACCCTCCTCTGCCCATCTTGTCGTTTTAGATCCCCAATCCCAAGGCCCAAAAGCCCTACGCACTCAATCCCCCAACTCCCCTAAACCCTAAACCCTAAACCCAATCCCCCAACTCCCAAATTTCGAAACCATGAAGCTTGAAATCGTGGGAGAGCATGCTTCACGAGTAGTGGTTGTTGGCCTTTGTGCCACGATTCCAGGCTCCGGGTTCAAGCCTCCTGGCTTTGTACACCAATATACGGTAAGACACGGAAATAGACCACAATGCAACATATTAACAGAACAGAAGAATATACCATTGTATATCATAATATAACATAGCATAACATAGTATAACATATAGTATGCTAAAATATAGTCTTGTACAGTATTTCTTAACATTACATAAATATTGTAGCATAAACTAGTATAACATAATATGCGATTAATAATATAGCATAAGCTAATGCAGTGTAGTATACTGTAGTACAGTATAATAGAACACAATATCAAGGCTCACAGGCTGTGCCCTAAGTCCTGCACCTGAGCGCGATCCCGAACCGTTTCCGGCCTTGAAAGTCCGAGCTCGCTGACGGGATGGTGGTACTTTCTACCGCAAGCTGGCAAATCATGTAGGGTGGTGCGAGTAACGATTGCCCATTCAGGTTTAGGGTTTGGGGATGCGGGATGCGGGGCTGAGTATGCATTTACAAGCATCGTGCCTCGAAGTTGATGGCTGACGTAGCTTCTGCAGATCATTTCCGGGTTAAGGGTGCTGGGTCTCAAACTTGGTCCTGCAAACTCGGCAATGGCGGAGGCCGTCGATGCGCCTCCGCCGACTTCGAAGGTGAAGAAGGCACCACATGTATTCACTAGGGCAGTGGGGGGAAGCCTGCATTCTAGGAGTTGTTTAGGATTTTCACCTGGAGGCTTTTGTTTGCGAGTTTGGAGGCAAGCGGTGTCTGATCTGCTGATGTTCAGAGGACGCCGGATCCGCAAGAGTGACCCTCCTGGCACTCATACCTTGCTTCACTTTACGGCTTCGGGTTTAGGGTAGAAGGTTCAAAGCCCGAAGCATCAAGAGCTGTTTCGTTACAGGGAACATGCTAACGAAGGCAGGTCTTTCTCGAACCAAAAGCCAGTAAACCCCAGAGCCCCAAGCGTTGAGTGTACATATATGTATATATGATATAATATAGTGCAGTATCGTATAGTATAGTACAGTAACGTATAATTTTGTACAGTATGGTACCGTATAGTGTAGCACAGTGTAACAGAACATCGATTTATGTTATAACATGGTTTTGTTCTTGTTTAGGGTCTCCCAGCCTAAACTCCTCTTCCCAGTTGATGCTTCGAGCCGGGAGATTGTGAAAGTAATGCCGCGAAGGTCAAGTTCAGAGGTTTGCTAAACTAAATCGGGGTTTTTGCAAGGCTTTTCTGCTTTTTGTATAGAGTCGAAAGAGTATCACCTAGCCAGACGAAGCTTTAGAGAAGCCCTTAGAAATCCTATACAGAACCCCGTGTAGCACCCCTTTTAAGGGAACCCCAAGCCCCGGAGCCCGAGACCGAGCGGCAGGCGCGAGACAAGGACCGGGCGACCTGCCTCTCCATCGCCCAGGTCACGAACGCCCTGAGGCTTTCACTTCCTCTAGTTTTTGTCATTCCTTAGTCGGGGCCCTTATACACCTGTTTTTGAAGGGAGGTTCTGCGGGCTTTTTGTTTTTTAAGTCGTGGCTTTGCATTTCAGGGTTTCTTAGTCTAAGGGTTGCATGAGGTTGTTGGAGGAATGCATGATTGTTTGGGGTTGAATGAAGGTTGTAGGGCATGCTTGATTTAGGGTGTAGATTTTGAGGGTTCAGTGATTTACAGTTTGTGGGCTTAGCATTTTAGACATCGGATGTGGTTTAGGATTTAGATTTAGCGTTGGCTTGTTCGGGGGAGTAGGGCTGGGTTTCGAGGCTTTGGGTTTATGTGGCAACTTCTGTGGCGTTGATCAGAATTGACACAGATTCTGGGTTGCTTCGGCTCGTACTGGCCATCATCTCAGTTCTCAAGTGGCTGTGACTCGTCCGACGGACTTTTCCGGACAGCTTGAACGTACGGACAGCGCGCCTCTATTGAGCTGCGTTTTCGTATTCGCAAAGATTGAATCTTTCAAAGCACCCTCGTATTTGGCTCAATAGAAAGAAGCCAAGTCGATGTCACCTCGCGGGTGTTTTTCCGGCACCCGGCAAGCTCTTTAAGCTATGCCGACGACACAAGAGGTGCTCCGCAGGGACATAGATCTGCTCGGCCAGCAGTACAGAGTCGTACTGGTAGGGGTTCAACCCCCTTGGATCGGCCGAATATGATCGGCTCCAGGCTGCAAAATCCGAAGCCCTAAACGGCTTCACCGCTGCGGCCATCCCGTTGCCACGAACTACCTTGAGGGATGCCCTAGGAAGCGCCTCCAAACCTAGTCCTCCTTGAACCCTGACCCGTAAAGCGTCAGGCTTTGGACCTTACGCCCTGAAGCTTCAACGCTACGTCCCCACACCTGATCCTCAGACCCCTAGGTCATCCTAGATCCTAAACCCTGGACCCGCATGCCCTCGTAGATATCCCTTGCAGGAAGCCTAAAAGATCCTAGGCCTTCGGCCTTCGTAGAGTTGTAGAGGGTTTTGCACGAGTATTTGCGGTTTATCGGGTTCTACAGAGGTGCAATGTAGGAACCCTGGTTAAGAAACCCTGGGCCTATAACCCCAAAATAGTAGGGTTCATGGAAGGAACCCTCATAAAGGCCCAAGCTTTCTTAATCGGGTTCCTACATTACAAGGTTTGATAGGAGGCCTTCGCGAATCGGTTAGGAGCTGGCCTGTCTATTGCAGCCCCAATTCAGGGTACATAGGGGCCTCACTAATTACCAATACTATTGTGGGGGTTCCTTATTATGATTATGGAAAAATATACCTCCAAACCCTATTCCCAAAACATCAGGCCCCTATATTTCCTACTTTCAAGGCAAACCTTATGCACTCAGTCACCTGATCCCCCAAGGTGGTCACCAGCAATCGTCCATCAACTACAGGGGATTAAATAATTGGCACCACTACCTTGGGGGTTCGTTATTATAGCTATACTCTAATGGCCCCAAAACCCTGTTCCAAAAAATATTACGGCCCCTATATTATCTCCGTGGAACATTATCAAAACCAGATGAAAGAAGCCGCCCCTTTGAGTCCGAAGCTCTAAACGTTAATCCCACAACACTAAAGCAAGGAGCCTTGAGGAAAAGCCTGAAAGAGCCGATAAGGCAAGTTTTGTAACTTACAGCTTCGTGCTCTGCTCAAAAAAATTCCGTGCAGGGAACCACCGGGCCAACCATACGGCCTTGGTTTCACGTATCCTTGAAAGAGCACTGACGATATACGTAGAACCCTGCAAAACCCTGTAGCAGGCCATAGAATCCTACACAACCCTAGAAAGCCCTTAAAAGACTAAAGAGCCCTGCAACGAAGGCTGGCGCTCGACCGCGATCCGTCTCCCGAGGAGGTGACGGAGCAACGCCTCAAGGACAAAACGACCAGAAGTTCGGTGGGGTTGGGTGGGGTTCGTTCGATGCAAAGTCTGTCTCGTAAGGATGCCGAATCTTCCACGTTACCCAAACTGTAGGGTTCATGCGGCTTTGGCATTCAGGTCGTGTTGGGAAGACCTAAGAAATCGGATCAAAAAGGTCTTGCTGCAACCCCAAGGCCGAGCCCCCAAAGATTCAGCAAACCTAGACGCAGTCGTGTTCAGGATGTACACTTTTTTGGGAGCTGAGACTCACTGATCATGTTTGTTCGGCTTCAGGGCGGTCAGAGCCCGGAAGATCGTTGCAGGAAGCGAGCGGTGGACAGCCCACGGCGAAGGAGATCAAGAAGGAGGTGCCCTAGCATACACGATATCATAGATGCTTCTGTAGCATCCAAAACGAACGGGGCAAACAGTGACATAGACAACGATTAACGTAGGTACAGAACTACATACGTAGATCTGGAGATAGCTGGATGTATACGTATATGTGTGTGTATATATATATATATATATATACGTACGTAGACTCATATCCTTCGACCATGCATCCTCTCACCATTCGCACGGGGGAACGCGATTCAGGATGCTCGGGCCACTCGTGCGCAGAAGAGTAGCATTGTAGGCTTGACGGAATTAGGCCCCTACCGACCCCCACGCAGCTGTGCACCGTAGGTGCCAGCCCTAAAATCGCGAAAAAACACACGGCGGTCATAATTAGCGGCATTCGACTAAACCTCAAAGACCAAGCCCCAAAGCCCGGTGTCCTTCAAGGCCCAGAGAGCCAGAGAGGCACCCCGAAACCGCAACCGCATACCGTAAACCCGAGCACCCTAAAGACCCTACACCCCGGAAGCCATGAATGCAAAGTTATGCCACCTACTCCTTGCTTCGAGGCGAAGATAGGCTTATGTTCGGGTTTTGGTGAATGTATATAGGGCTCCTTGAAAACGTTGGTGAGTGCATATTGCGGGTGTCGTCGCAGGGATACAAATGGGAGTTTCCGGAAATTAGGGGTACCTTATTTTGGGGTCCTGAAAATAAGGGTCCTACTATTCAGGGTACTATTTTGGGGTCCCCTATTTTCGGCACCCTTTTGTCGCTTTCATGCCACACAAGAACACCTTGCTAAGCCTTCACGACACCACGACCGCAAACTTCCGTTTCCAGAGCCCTCTAGAAAGCTCTATGCGAGCCCCGCAAGAGGTGTTTCTGAAACTAGCCAGGAAAAGCTTCTGCGAACCCGTAAAAAAACAGTATGTGCGTGACACCCTAAAGCCTGAGCCCCGACAAGTCTGAGTTGCATTCACGCCTGCAGCTAATGGAGCAACTCCATGCATACGACCGCAATGTTGGGTGCAGCAACGAGCCTTTCCGGGCCTTTCTTCTTCCTCATAAACTGCGTGTACATTCCATATGCCTTATTTTGGGGTTCCTACAATAAGGATCCTACTGTTTAGGGTACCGTATTAGGGTCCCCTGTTTTCGGAAACTCCCGCATTTCCTTCCACACGGACAGCCCTTCACAGCGCACACGGCTTGGACACGATTCAGGCAACGTTTAACACTCACCGGACGGGCAAGCTGAGATGCAACGGCCAACCCCAGCATGATCTAGACACCCTGAACCCACAATTCAACGGAAGGCCATATAAACAAAAACCATTTACCAAACCCTAAACCCAAAAAAAGAAGCCCTAAACCCCAAAGCTCCTAAACCCTAAACCATAAGAAGCCCCAAAGCTCAAATAAGAAGACGCTGCTTCCTTGGAGGCGAAGAAGGCGGCGAAGTCCGAGGCAAAGGTCGCTGGCATCGCGCCTTTCGGCTTAAGAGCAGGGTTTGGGGTTTAGGGTTTAGGGTTTAGGGTTGCTTCTAGAAGGGGGGAGGAATTATGTTTTGAAGGTTTTTTTGGTATGGTTTTACAGGGTGTGTTTGTGTGAAGGTTTGTTCTTGTTTTAGCGGTGTTGCAGGGTGTAAGAGCCTTTCAAGTGCTTTTGCGGGTGTTTTAACTTTCCGGAGTGTTCTCCTTGATCGGGTGAGAGGCTGTTAGGTTTATCCCTCTAGCGCTCGTAGTAAGCCTTATCGTAGCTTTCATGGGCGTCATCACCCTTCTAGAACCCATGGTATCCCACAGTATCTTCTATAAAACCTCCATAGCAGCTCTTTTATCGAATCCCCGGAGTAACCCTAAACCCTTAACCCTGACCCCTTAGCCCTTAACCCTAACCGTGTGAGAAAGAACCAAGGCCGCCGCCGAGCAAAGCCCCCCGGCTGCAGGGCCTTGGAAGCTCTTGGGGTCCTTGCTGTGCAGGGTTTAGGGTTTGGGGGCAGTAGACTCATTTTCATGTTTTTGTGCCGTGTTATATATATATATATATATATTGTTATATTACGTTATTAGTATATTGTTATATTGGCCTGCTATCATATCATGGTCTTTGTCGTTCTCATATTGTCAAAAGTTCAAATTATCGTTTTACTTTGTTGTTTATTGCGTTTTAACTATAGTTCTTCTTGGTATTATCATATTCACATACTGCCGTCTCATGTTGTCATCTATTGCTCTGCTATCATATGGTTACCTTGCTATATTGCCGTATTATCATGTTGCTGTATAGTGGTATTGCGATATTGTTACATTGAACTGTAATTTCTGCTAACTGTGATATGATGATCAAGTTTCTATTCTGGTATTAGCATATTACCAAATTGTTTTAATATTCGGTTAACTTATTTCCATGTTATCATGTTTTCATATCATACCACCATTAGGGTCTCATATTAATATACGGTTTATGTTTTCAATGTGTGGCCTATTTTGTATTAATTTACTGTTCTATGGTTCTATATTGGTAAATTGTTTGTTGATTGATACAATATGTTAGCATGATTATATATTAACATGTAACAAGATTTTACAATATTGTTATACTGTTATATCTTGTTATTTGATTGTTATTATTATTATAATACAGCTGCATCATCTTATATTACTAATATATTGTACCAGTATTGTATATAATAACACAGTAGTTATTATTAGTCTATGATGTGATCTTACTACAGCGTGTTGTAGTCTTATACTTCTACTGTTCAAGAACCTCAAAATACGACGCCCCGTCCGTCCTGCGGAGCTCAGGTGACGAAAAAGGAGAAGCAGGAGGCCACAACGACAAAGGTCGTCACAGAAGAGCTCAGGCCGCGACTTTGCGTTTAGGGCCTTCAGGTTAGAAGGGGCCCCCACCCTGCAATAGTGGTCTAGTGGGAATATAGGGCCCTAATATAATCCTTATAGTCACTATTACAGGGTGGGGGCCCCTTCTAACCTTTAGGGCTTTAAGGGTTTGGGGCTCGCGCCTTAGAGGTTTGGATTGAGGCCTTGGGGTGCTGTCCGGAGTTCTTGAGTTTACAAGAGGTAGAGGGTTGAGAGGAGGGAGGTTGAAACCCGAAGTAATAATTAATTTCCTGAACCAGATCGGTAAGTAAGCTGACGGCTTTGCCATATAGGAGGGTGGGATAGCCTGTACCGTCAGGCTTAATTGGCTGCCTTGTTTGCGTATTATCTTCTTGTTGGGGATGTTCCTGAAAGGATGCTGCCGGGAAGCTGTCGGTGTGTCCGGGGACCACATATCTGCATTCCCTCACCGGAGTTTTGAGCCTAGGATACTGCGCAACGCTACATACCCCAAGCCAGTGTTTACTTTTGAATAGGTCCTCGAGTTCTACAGATTCGGGTTTAGGAATTGCTCAGACCCAAACCCCCAACACCCGAAATTCAACAAGTATGAACAACCTCAAGAACCCCTTCATGTCCGCTTGTACGAGGGTGGAGCTCGGCCGCGCGCCGACGCGGGGAGAAGTGGCAAAGAAGAAGCTGGAGGCAAGGTGTGTTATGTTTAATTATACTAAATTTACTTCAGTTAACTTATATTTAGCTATATTTTCATTGTCTATTATATGACATTGTTGTATACAACATAGTAGAACGGCTTCTGCGGTTCCTCGAGCTTCCTTCGAGTCTTGAACCTGTCGTCCCTAACTAAACCCTAAACCCTGTCCCGGCAACGAACTTCACCCCAAGTCCACAAAGCGTTGGCCCTACGCACAGTTGGCCCTACGCGCATCCTAAACCCCATAATGGTAAGAGCCCAACCCATAGACGTATAGTTCTCGCTTAAGGAGGCGAAGCAGGGAGCATCAAAACTTGGACCGCCAAACCCGAACTTCCCAACCTGGAGATACTTGAGGGGGAGAGTTTGGGGGCTCCGGGCATGGTTAATTCCTTGTATTTGGGGTTTGAGCTTGGGAGGTGGTAGAGTTTTGGGTTTGGGCTTCGGTGTGACGACGAATCCTTGCAGTAACCCTTCTAACCTGAACCCTTGCAATTCCGTCCCGGGTTTAGGGGCTTAGGGTCCACAAATGTCGGTGTGCACGGTCTGAGTCCAGGGTTTTTTCGCTCCACGAAGAGCGATAATTCTGGTTGTCAGCTTCAGTAGCAGTTTTCCAGCGGTTTCGGGGCTCGTTTGTTTATACCGACAAATCTAGAATCCATCCCTGGGCCGTGCAAGAATCACTTCGGGCCCCGACATTGGCTTGAAGCTTCTGCAGGAAGCAGTGGGTCGGCCGCCCACGCAGCAGGAGATCCGAAAGGAGGCTTTCCGCAATGTTGTTTTGTGGGGGCGTTACGGTTGATGGATTTGAGGGTTCAGGGTTTGACCTTTGCAGGTGCGACACTCATCACTTTGAGGCTCGGCTTTGAACTTCTGGGGTTCCAGCTCAGAGTGCATGTCTTCGGGAGGGGGGTCAGTCATCTGAAGCCTATGAGGATATATGAGGCCTCACCAAAGGCGCCATAGACCTCGTTCACCTGCACAGGTCAAGAGAGCAGTGAAGATTGAGGTCAAAAAAGAAGCGGCGCGACAGGCCGGGGCAGCCTGTAAGCTCTAGGACTCTCGGGACGCCAGAACTGCAAAACGTATTAAAACCTTCCGCTTATGCGATGTTCAAACCGCAATTAGAGTCTTTTGGCCAGCACTGCGCTTAATCTCTACTCCTTGAGCCCTGAGCTCAAACTTTGCCTCAAACCCTGCGCCCGATGCCCGAAGGCCCGAAACCCTGGCCTTGAAAAAGCCTTCAATGGGCTTCATGAAAAGGCATCAAAATCACTTTCCTCAAAGTACCGGAGCTCCTGAAGAGCCAGAAAACTCACTCCTTTCTCATCGCTCTACACTTGCTACATCGTACGCCGCAGTTCTAATTCTTGAGGCCTCCTTGTGATGGTTCTCTAAGTTATGGCGCAGTTGCGGTCCCTTTGGCTGGGCCCCAGAGGACGATTTCACTCCAAAGCTCTTGTACAACCCGATGACAGCTCTACAAAATCCTCATAGACCCGGGAGCTGATATGGAGGTCTGAATAGTAGAGACACCCCGAAAGTCCTTTCAGTCATTGAGGCCGCTTTTTTCAAGCCAAGTCTTGGTGATCGAGTTATGAGCCTGCGAAGCGCTGCGACGGTCAACACTAGGGTTGCGGGAGCACTCGAAGCCATGCAAGGCGCGAGACCCCGGACCTGAAACCCTCAACTCCCTAAACCTAAACAAAAAAAGCTCTCATCAGGAGAGGCAGAAGAGGAAGGAGCAGGAGAGGGAGAGAGAGGAGGCGGCGACGCCTGTGTCACTGCAGGCTCGGCTCAAAAACGGGCTCAAAAACGTAGGATGCGGGTCATCCGCGCTCAAGTTTGATTTTTTGGGCTTTTACTGGTTTGACGGGCTTCAGGCTTGAAGGTGCTGTGGCAGAATCTATGGTTCAGAGGTTCCCATGTAGAAATCCACTGTTCGGCATGCTCCAGGTTGAGTAGTTTTCCAGCTTTCGGGTCTACCAAAGTGTATACCGAGGACGCTTTAGTTTCAGGGTGTCATTCAGGCACTTAAATTTATGTCATATGTGTATGGTTCATCGACAAAGTACAGTCCCACAACACGGGTGAGAAGAAGTCCTCCGCTGCTGTTGGGCGAATATTCCACATGCGGGCATCGCAGTCAGCTGCCTTGCGTTTGCCTCCTTTCCTAAACTCGGCAGGAAAAGGTCAAACGTGACAAGAAAGGCGACAAGAAGCGGAGACCTGAGTTTGAGACCTGTGCTGAACTGGGGCTTAGTTGGAATAGGGCTTCGCAGCTTCCCGTTCTCGCACTGTCTATCCATATGCCTTGTTTGCAATTCCGATTGATATCTTTCAGTATCAGGCCCGTTGGATGTGTACATCAGCGCCGCCTTGGATGTTGACATAACGTTTCGCATCTATCCGCAGTATTCAATACTCAATTTTTATGAAGCTAGATGAGAGGGTCACGGTGTGCTGTCATGCTTGTTGATTCTTCCATGTCCTGCTGAGTGAAAACCGTTACTATCTGATACAGACTTCGTGCACAAGCGCGAGTGATGCGTTCCATACCCAAAATTGAACTTGCTCCGACTCCCAAGTCTAGGCAAGTAAAGAGACGTGACACTGTGCCAAAGCCTTCCACAAATGTGTACAGGTTCTAGGACTCTAGGACGAGTTGTGTTGATTGAAAATCTGATGATAGTATACCGTGGCTCGTGCGACGCAACGTCGACGACGGTGTTTTAGGTGTCATGAAGGTAGATGATGCAGAAACAGAAAGGCACACTATGAATCTCTACTGGCGATACAAGCCCTACTTCATGTGAGCTGTACGAGATCCGAAACTACCAAACCGATTTTGTATGCCTAAACGCACAAGCCTAAAAGTACACCCGAGACTGCCCATCCTGAGCTATAAACCTGAAGCTGCGGCCCCTTAGCTCCAAGCCCGAAACTACGTAGCAATCCCATGAAGCCCGAAACCCCTAAAGAGGCACACCCCTAAGAGATTTCTACAAGGGTCCATGTACTCAAATAGTATGTACTTTGGCTTTCCAGTAGTCCCTGTAAGGGTTCCTTTAAGGAGTCCCTTAAAGCGTGCCTTTTAAGGGTTCTTCATAAGGTTTCTGCAAAATGTAGAAGCCCTAAGCCCTGAACTTTAAACTAAACCCCAAAGCTTACACCCTACACCCTATAAGACCCTAAGCCTTAAACCCTAAACCTCAAGCCCATCTCCCCGAGAGCCCCGCACCCCCGGGTCCTCTTTGAGCTGCGGTAAAGGCCTTCCTCCAGCTCGAGCAGCCGAAGGTTCCTCGTTTTGTGTTGAATTAAAGGAGCTTCACTGGGGTATAGTTATGACAAACTCCTGGGGATTTAGGGGGTTTCGGGGTTCAGATTTTTGCTGTTCGTAGTGTTAAGGTTTTGGGGCGTGAGGTTTCGGGAATTTTGAGGATGTACACTCTACAGTGCTTCAGGGATTGTTTAGCTTGAGCCATGGTTTTCATGTTCGGCGCCGTTTGGGTTGTTTTAAGGTTGTAGGTTGCTTACATTTTTCGTTGGTTGAGGGTTTGGTGTTTCAGCGGTCCAAACGTTTGACCTAAACGGTTTTCGTGGAGTCTAGGACAGGGGATTACAAGTCCTACTCTAAGGATCTTAAACGCTTCGGAGTTTCGTCTTCCCTTGAATCGCTCCGAGTTCAAAGCTAAGGGTTGCATTTTAGCATCCTTTCAGGGCTTTATAGTAAGGTTTGTATGAGGGTGTTGGGCTTATGATTTAGGGTTCCAGGGTGTTGCGATGTCGAGAATGAATGGGGATCCAGGACTTTGGAGGTAAAACGCTGCCAAACCCTGAAGACACCCCGAAATTCCGCAATTCAGGAACCCTAGCTGAGAAACTCGACATGTTTTCAGGACCATTTCAAAGTCTCTGGGAACCCAAGAATCCTGGAAGCTTAAAGCTGAAGCCAAGGGTTTCACAGTCCCATGCCCTGAACCTCAGTGCTACATGCGTGCCAGGGGCGCTCGGAGTGCTGCTGACTCGAAGTCCGGCCCTTGAAAGGGCTTTCGAAGCTGTGGATTGTGTGGCTTTGATAGCGTTCTCCCGAAGCCCTGAGCGCCTTAGCTTGGAAGTGGAGGTTCCGGGTTGAGGGTTCGAGAATCTTAATGTATCATGCCACCAATCCCTTCCGAATGAGGAATATCCTGAACCAATCTATAGCCTTTCGTTCGGTGTACTGTCTGTCCATGGCAGCGTATGGCAATGCCGACGTCGACATGCCAAATGTTTAGCCCTAAAACAAGTCCGATGACGATCTCACGGCTCAGGGTTTGGGGTTTTCGGGTTAACATTCAGGGACTTCGCTGATGTCTTAGATGTTCGCAAGGGCGTAACGTTCAGTTCCTGAACACCAAGCGCGACCATCTTTGTTTTTCTGCGCCAGGGAGCATATGGACTTCTTCAGACCTGCAGCCACGAACTGCCTCTCACACGTTTACAGGTCGCGTTGAAGGTGCAAGAACACATGCTCTGTTTGGGATCCCTTAAGTAGTTTCAATGCGTTCTGCCATCTAAACCCGCTCTGATCCTGTAGGCCGGCGCGAAGCCCGAAGCAAGCCCGAAACCCTTGACTCCAAGCCCTTCATCCTGAACTTCGGCAAAGCTTAAAACTTAAGCCTCTGAGCCCAAAACACGAGCCCTGACCCCTAAAGCTCAGCGAACCCCCAAAGCCTAAACTCTACTAATACCTCCGAATCTTAGCCTGACCTCGCCTTCCAAAATCCTAAGAAGCGCCCCAAGACCCGTAAAATCCCATGAGTCCCTTGTAAAAACCATTTTTCTGCTTCACAACCCAGACTACAACCTCTTTCAGACGCACGTAAGGGAGAGAACCCGAGGCCTTCGTCCGAATCCGGCAGCCGACTCGACTCCCGGGGAAAGCCACCGGGCGGCAAAAACTTTCGTCAAATGCTGGAGATTCGGGCTTTGTAAATAGTTGCCTGTTTGGGTTCTAGAGGGTTTTTGTGGTTTCGAGGTTAGGTGGGTTTGGGGTTTGGGGCGTGTTCAGTCAGGGTTTATTGTCGAGGTTGTCATGGTCTGGGGTTGTTGTGTTTCGGAACTGCAGCCTTTAGGATTTTCGGGCGGGCCATCAGCGAATTTTTTGTACATGTGAATGTACTAGTACATACATATATATATATATACACACACACACATGCGTTCAAGCACACATACGAACATGCATACATCACACATACATGCATGCATACACCTGTACCCATCTGTACTTTCCTGCATGAAGATCTACATACCAGTATCTGTTTCCTCATCCAGACCTATACTTTCACTTGTGTGTACAGTTAGTTAACCCAATACAACCCCATGTCGAAGTGCACACCAAAGTCTTCGATCCAGGGCATAGAGATAAATGGACAGGACATCTCGCGACTTACCACCTCCAGGTTTTGCGAAGGTGAGCTGAGGCGTAGGGAGAGAGATTTTTGAAACATCCATGTTTGCTTCCATTCTTAGAATTCCATCGTTCACCTGATCTTCTGCTGCTTAGAGTCCACTTCGCGAGACTCGTGAGCCCCTCGACTCAACCCGAAACGAGCAGCCCCGGAAACTTCCGAACAATGAACCTTCTTAAAAAAAACCTTCAAAGAAATCGTGGTAGAATTCCTCGAGGAGATTTTGCGGAACCTTAACCTTACATGCGCTATATCCTCAATTTGAATCGTATCGACTCGAGGCAAGGCTCTGGGCTCGGAAGCCGGGGCGGCTCGCGGCAAGGGAAGAAAGGGCACTCTGAGCTGCAACTATCCTTTTCTTTTGGGTTTTTGGGGTTACGAGGGTTTAGCAGGTTTTTATCAGTGCTTGATGTTTTGCTTGAAGTCAGGGTTCCAGGTAGGGCCTTGTTGTACGTAGGATCCGTACCCGCTCTGGAGTCTCCAGACCAGGTTTTGACTGGGGCGAGCTACTGATTTCTATGTTCGCTGCACAGCTGTAACACCCTGCCTCGTGCGCATCGGCTTCTAAGTTGATTCATCGATGGCTCCTCCACGCGCATTATGTATCAAGCCGCCCACGATGACGAGGCTTCGTGGCCAAACCAGGCTTGTGCATCAGCTGCAGCGATTCTGGCCAAGCCAGGCAGAAACACACGCCCATGATCGCGAGCATCAGGTGCATCATCTGGAGCCACCCTAGCCAAAGCATGTTAAAGACCGCACATAACGGCAAGCATCATGTGCATCAGCTGGAGGCTTCCTGGCTGAACCAGCACATCACGGCGAGCATCATGTGCATCAGCTGCAGCGTTTCTGGCCAAGCAGAAACACACCTATTATCGCGAGCATCATGTGCATCATCTGGAGCCACCAAAGCATGTTAAAAACACGCACATAACGGCAAGCATCATGTGCATCCGCTGGAGGCATCCTGGCTAAACCAGGTTCTTCACGGCACATCACGGCGAGCATCATGTGCATCAGCTGCAGCGTTTCTGGCCAGGCAGAAACACGCACCCAATATCGCGAGCATCATGTGCATCATCTGGAGCCAGCCTAGTCAAAGCATGCTAGAAACCAACCATAACGGCAAGCATCATGTGCATCAGCTGGAGGCTTCCTGGCTAAACCAGGTTCTTCGCGGCACATTACGGCGAGCATCATGTGCATCAGCTGCAGCGTAAGCCAGGCAGAAACACACACCCATTATCGTGAGCATCAGGTGCATCATCTGGAGCCTCCAGCCCAGCCAAACCATGTTGAAAGCCTCACATGTTGAAAAGCATCATGTGCATCAGCTGGAGGCTTCCTGGCAAAACCAGGTTCTTCACCGCATATCACGGCGAGCATCATGTGCATCACCTGCAGCGATTCTGTCCAGGCAGAGAAACACCCATGATCGCGAGCATCATGTGCATCATCTGGAGCCTCCCTAGTCAAACCATGTTAAAAACTGCACATGGCGGCACGCATCATGTGCATCAGCTGGAGGCTTCCTGACGAAACCAGGTTCTTCACGGCACATTACGGCGAGCATCATCTGCATCAGCTGCAGCGTTTCTGGCCAGCCAGGCAGAAACACCCATGATCGCGAGCATCATGTGCATCATCTGGAGCCTCCCTAGTCAAACCATGTTAAAAACTGCACATAGCGGCACGCATCATGTGCATCAGCTGGAGGCTTCCTGGCTAAACCAGGTTCTTCTGGGCCCATTACGGCGAGGAT